AGCTGCATGACAAGATACTGTCCCCCTCTCAGTCAAGGAGGGCTACAGCCTAACGAGTTATCCCAGACCTCTAGTGTGGAAACACTAGGCAGGAACCCCAGCAAAGGGCATTCACCCTGCAATTGGCTGAGAGCCGTGGAGGGATGAAGATGTTCATCCCTGGATTCAGGCACTTTTAGGATTCCAACAACTCTGCTATGATTGATCTGAGTTGAACCGAGTGGCAACCCTACAGTTCTTGGGCCGAACTGAGTTCGACAGAGGGGTTTCACACACTCCAGAACCTTTGAATGGGCAAAAACAAGGTCTGATTCTTCAAGGGAACAGATCATCTCTCTTGGATCAGACCATTGGACTGAAGGGTAATTGAAACCAATTGGATCTCTGACATCCATATGACTCATGGATCGAAGCACGAAAGCTTGGAGCCGGAAAACGCTTGGAAGAAAACAGACCTGACCAGTCAGAGCGACCATTGGACATCCATCAGCTCCGGTCAGCCGACCAGTCACCCGACCCGATCATCTCCCTTTCGCCGCCGCGGTCGACGGGCCTCTCGTTCCGTCCGCGTCGGGGTCCGACCGCCGCCGTCCGAGAGAAGGAGGCGATGGACCGAGAAACGGCAGCACGACGTAGATCAGTCGTAACAGATCGCAACCCCCGTGTGACGGTCCAGAACGGTGTGAGGGTGCAAGTTACGGTGTGATGGTCCAAATGTGACAGTTCCTGTGACTGTGGGCATAAGTGTGTCCCAGTCGGTGGTTTTGTTTTTTCATTCCCCTAACCGTGTGGTCACACCTTTAGAATCCTTTAGACCTCACACACGCACTGTTCTGTCAGCAAACGCTTGTAAAACGCTTCATTGGAAGAGCAATCAGGTGTTCAAAAATGGAAGGGCCACCAGCGCCTTGTTGAAGGTAGCATTTGATCTTCCACAAGGGATTGGTAGCTATTCCAAACCACTTCACCTACCTACATGTTGGAAAGGTTTGCCAATCACTCCTTAAATTGAAACAGAAAAACATCGTATTAATACGGGACACCTCTCAGTTCGACCCACTGGAAGAAGAGAATTGGACCACCCACTGGTTGAAGGTCTCCCTATTACACACCCAAATGTGTTTTTTCTCGAAAATGATGAGGTACTGGGTGCAGTAGTGGAAAATGTTTGACCTGTGAGAGTGCCAGAATGGCTCGGTGCCTGGAACCCATCTGATCCCCTAGCCTTCAAAGACCATGATATAAGAGAAGGGTTGATCTGGTTCGGTAAGGAGTCTTAATAGTCTTAAAACCTTGGTAAAACCATGGTGGTTTGGTCTTCGGACCCTTAAAGTTTGCAAGGTTGGTGGGATTTTTTGGGGGGATCAGTCATTTGACTAATTTTCTGAACAACCCAACACATGATCTTGAACCGCCGGGACTAACTACTACGACGTTCCTCAGATTGGTCTTTGCTTCTGGCATGGCGGTAGTCATGGCTCAGTGATTCGCGTTCGAAGAAAGGCAGCGCGGCAGCTGTTGATTTTGCGCTCAGAAACTCCGCTAGATATGGGTCAAAACGGTCAAAACAGGGCAAATCAAACACCCCTATCAGTTGGAACATGTGGACAATACAACAGGACGGAGAAGACATCAAAGAGATCCATGTTGATTCCTGAGTCGCTGTCGGTGTGTTTTGTTCTCTTTGAAGCCCGGTTTGTTGCCCTGTTGGACGCCGTGTTCGACCCCCTCGATCAACCGCCAGAGACCTGTGGGGTCGGAACGCTGTGGTTTTTGATCTTCTGGCTCTGAGATGAAAGAGCTACACACCCAAAGGATCCCAAATACTGTATTAAGGCATATCAAGGCCATGTATGTCTTTTTTGGCTTTGATGTTGTGAAGAAAGCATCTGTGTGTACGGTGACGGAACTTCAGCTTGAGTTTGTTGCATTTTGTTGCTGTGTTGGTCAGCATCCGGTGTTTGAGGGCTACCTGTGTGAAGTTGTAGTTGATCCCCAATTTCTGTTGGATATGGACGATGTGAAAATTGCAGCTTGTAATCCTTGTTCAGTTCCTTTTGGAGGGAGAAATGGTGGTCCGACCAAAACCATCCTTTCCGTTTTTCCCCTTCCTTTCATGGCCTTGCCATCGTCAGCGGCCAGTCCTTTTGTCTCCAGAAAGCACCGTCCATGTCGGTCCATGAAGACTCTTGCTCACCCATGCAGACCCAATGCACGTGCACGACTATATTGAAGGAATGGGACAGACGAAGGTCGAACCGCTTGAACCCTGAAAAACGATACAGCCAAGCTCCATGTGCCAAACACCGGCTACGAGTGGACGATGGCCAACATGCGTGACACCCTTGATCTCAGCAGGGCTTCACGTGACGGGGTAATTAGGATTGACCAAGCTGATGTTGACTGCTCTTTACAGCGTGTTTCAACAACACTTTTGCATATACATTTGCAAAGATATTTTGGGGGTACAGACCATACACCGCATCGGTCATCGGTGTTCAACCGACCGCTTCGCCGTGTCGCCAGCTTCATCGCCGTGTCGCCAGGTCCAGCTCAAGCAGGAACCACCTTCAAGTGATGCACCTCCTGACGTGCGATTCCTCCGTCACAAGTGGTGTCGGTGGTGTCACAAGCGGCAGCCAAACACGGTTCCAGGCCCAGGTTCCGAGCATTGCAACTCAGAATTTGCGGACCAAAAACCTACGTACCCATGGCAGAACATTTTGCCAAATCGTGCAGCAAAAAAGAGTTGCCCAAGTTGGCTGCTGTTTGGCAAGGGTGTGCCTACTAAGAGGAAAGACCCACACAGATACTGATTTTGCAATATTTTGCATAAAGTCTGGCCAACAGATGTTGCATTCATTTGATTGGCCATGGTTACATAGTTTCTCAGTTTTGCTTAGCTTGTGTGTATGGTGTCCTTTTAGCACAATGCCCCACTTCATGGAAAGGCCATTCCAAGAAAGCAGATTGTGTTTGGCCTATGAGGCTTGCTGGGTATTCAGTGTCTTCCATGAATATCTTTCTTTGTAGCAGGTACATAATGAGTGCGCATCAATTTATAGTCCCAGAGAGGTCTGACGGGGAAGCACCACTTTCCTCGCACAACATTCACGGTTGCACTTCAGGTAGATTGGCACGTCCTCTTTTGGGGTTCCTGAAAGAGAAGCAATTGGCACGTCTTGGCCCACTTCCCGGCGAACGTGGCGATGGACCACGTGGATCAGACAGAGGTCGACACCGACACAGACCGTAGGTCGAAGCAAAGTCTGGATGGTGACGCGGATCGACACAGATGGGTGTTTAGCTGCCCTTGTTATGCCTCAAAAAGGCGACGACAAGGAGGATGTGCCAAAAAGGATATGCCGCATACAACTTCCTCGCACCCGCCACTTTCTCGCACTCCTTACTTGTATACTGGTATTCACTGGCAGGGCGATGAATCAAATGCCAAACACCCGGCACGTCACATCTTCCCTGGGCGGCCCTCCCGAAGTGGCTTCCTCAACTGAGCCGCCTGGGGCTCTAAGGCGCTGCGTAGTTCCAACTGTTTTCAGAAACGCCCCAAATCACCGTTGGGTTCTCCGGTTTGAGCGTGCGGTGCCATTGGAGCCGGCTCCATGTGTGTGTGTGTTCTTTTTCTGAACTCGCATGAAGTTGATGTTGCAAACAAGGGAACTCGGGCAGTGTTCGACAAAGGAACTCGGGAAGGTGAACTTCCGGCTATACCAGATGAGTTCGTTCTTACGGTCTCCGTCAGGCCCAATCGGTATCGGTGGATCGGCTTTTCCGGCGATGAACCACTATCAGTCAGCTCGAGGTTCAGAGTCATCAATGTTTGCCCCTTCTTTATTAAGGAGGGGTTGGATTGGAATTGATGCATCAATTCTAGGGGGGGTTAGAATTGATGAAGTACAATACAAGTAGTACCCGTAACAACTGTTAGTGTGTAACTCTGTAACTGTCTTCAAAGTGTCCGCAACACGGAGGATTCCCCTCAAAATTTCCTTGCAACAGTTGGACTATAGCAAGTGGTGGGATATGACTTCCCTCCCATAAGAATCCATGACTATAGCAGGACCTCGACCATGACTTCCTGACCAGCTGGTCTCCATGTTGCTCAGCTTGAGAATCTAATATACGTTGCCCACAAAGGCGCTCTACTCCTTCTTGTCAAATCGCACAGCTTCCAGCAGCGGCTTGCAGAATTGCATCGCTGCTCCCGTGCGCTTGCCTGAGGTCTGAAATGGTCTCGATCGTAAGCTGTAAGCAACCCAGTGAGCAAAAGCAAATCTCATGTTGTAAAGCCAGTTCCAAGCAGGTGAACTGCAAATAGGTGGCAGGGAAGCTGAGAACCAAGCGTGGGTGAGCTAGAACATTCCAGAGAGACTGCATGAAGGGCTTATGATTCTCCTTATGACTTCTCAGGGTTCACATGGACAAATCAACCAACCTTCATTGTAGATTGGGAGGAAACCGTTGCAGACATTGTAGACACTGTACACCGTTTTGCCTTGTATATTTACTGTATATTAATATATACACACATAGTCAGTCCCACACATTTATTTATGCATTTGTCACATATAGATTGGGCTCTCCAAACCTGAATTGACCCTCTCTCTTGCATTGCATTGCGTGCTTCCTTGCGTTTCTTCGACATGTGCATATATATTTGCATTATGTATTTATTTGTTTCTGTTGCCTCTTGGCTTGTTTTTGTCTTTGATTTGCTTTGCGTCTCGCTTCTCGTTGGACCGGTCTTCACACCCTGCTTTTCGTGTTTTTCTCGGCCTCACTGCAACAGCAGCGCCCTGCTGATCTGCGAGGTCTGCCCAGTCTGCCGAACTATGGGCACCTCATCAGAAACACACCAGAAACCCTTAGAATTGTAGCAGCAGCAGCAGCAGTAATTGTATAGTAGTAGTGGCTTGTAAGAGCAGAGAGCCTGACCTCATCACCACCCCACTCTGACGACCGAGCTCCAGACCGGCGGCGCGATGGAGCGGGACCGCGCCGAGCCTACACCGCGGCGGTCCCGACCAGACCGACGGCACGTGGCGATGCCTGGGAGAGGCCTCTATTAGTTCAATAAAGAAGAGAACCAGCATAGACCCCAAACAGTTTGGTCTTCATCCATGCCTGGAATTCCAATGCTGAAAAGCAGCACGTGGGCTTGTAAGTAGAAGTATACGAGGGTCGAGTCGAAAAGAAAACAAAGGTTGCTTATGGTCAAAAAGGCCAAGAGAGGTTGAGAGACCGCTTCACGTTCGGACCCTGGTCTGTGGTACATATGGGATGGGCGACAAAAGGTCTGTTCAACCTCTCTTGGGGGGCGGAGGAACTCAGGGCCAGTCGAACTCAGTCAGTTGGTTCGAAGGTATCCAGGCATCCGAACGGCTCCGGAAGGCTTGGGACGAACGGATGGCCGTGTTCGTTGAGTGGCGTGGCGCCGGTGTGGCAGCGCACGCAGCGTACAGCGCAAGTCTGGAGGTGGATGATTGCAGGAAATGGCATGAATTGGATCTCCAAGAAGCTTTCACTTGGAGGGTTTCGATGGCTTCAACCAGGAAAATACTCCTTGGAAAGAAGGGGACATCAGAACGAACAGGCCAGAAACGCGGCCATCCAAATGACTCATGCAAGAACGACGTCTTCCTGGATCGCTCACACCAGCGTCTCAGGAGGAAAAAGGAGGTCCCGCCGAGTCTCGATGGCGAAGCACATGGCGAAGCGCATGGCTCACGACGTGGATATTTTGGGCGGACCGAGCATGGTATTTTGGGCGACCGAAAACAGACCTTGCCAGGCTAACACATTTCAAGCAGCCAGGGTAAACAAAAGAAGGGTGAACATGACGTTCACCCATTTGAGTTGCAGGACGGGCTCCCAGCCAATCAGAACCTGGAGACCAGACCGGTTGATCTCCAGGACGATCTATCGAAGCAAACCCATACCAGACCCTGGTGGCAAAAAGATCTTCGCCCGCTCCGAATCGATCCTTAGTCTTCACACCAACACTCTGCCGCTTTGGCTTCTCGTGCAGCTGCGTCCGTCGTCCATCTCGGCGCGGGAAGCATCGTCCACCTCCGCTGCGAGCTGAGCCTTTAGAGGCACGGGGCGTGGCATGGGCTGGATGGAGAGCTGGAGGGCTGAGGTTTTAGATTGCAACTACGCCTGAGAGGTCAGATTTCTTCAATGCAGTCATATGTGTGAGGAGGAGTTCTCAATGCCCTGAAATCTGAAGATTTGGGGGTGAGAACAATCCGATTCGAGGGGGTCCCCTAGTTGATGTTCTGCTTGGAACCTACGAAGTGAGAATTCTCGTAAGACCACCTCTGAGATGCTGATTGGCGACCAAGGGGTCACACAGCGCCCCTGCAAGTAGTCCTACCTTCGTCCAAGTCGGCCAAGTTAAACCTGGTCTGACTGACCTCATTGAGCACTGAGGGATTGCCTGACCTCCCGGATCCAGTTTTGTCGCTCCGACCGCCCGACCTGTGGACCGTTGGTCCGAAATCACCGAGGATTTCGGGGATGTCTCGGTCTACGAGGTGGTCAAATCTGGTATTTATGTCCGAACCAAGTCCCAGAAACCAATGGTTGGAACCCAGTCTATGGCGCCAGCTTGAGATCCTGGAAACAGAGGAAATGGCCGGGACTGGGGAAACATCCATTTCTTTCTGATTGTTTGGGTTTCCAGGTTCTAAGAGCGTTGAGCAAGTTGTGAAATTGAAGCAAGTCAAGACCAGCTCTACAGAACTCGGCTGGGCAGGAGATTCACCCAATTGATAGATGTCAAAAAAGGCGTTGTCAGAGCCTCAGATCTTTGTCAAGGGGTTCTGGGGTGCAAACTGCCACTTGGCTGCCCTGCTACCCGGTGTCCCACCAGTCAATGATGATCAATGAGGTCCCTTTGTTCGTTGCATTCGGTGCCTGTGCTGACCAGGAATGACCGTCATCTTCGAGGCACGTCTCCTCGGCCGACGGCCTTTTTTCAGAGATTGGGTTGGTTCACCCACACGACCGTACGTACCCTGAAAGCACTCCTTCTCTTCACTTCCTCTTCTCAAATTTTGGCAATCTCAGGATAGACCTTTTTTCGAAGCTACTTATAGCCACTAGGAACAAGTGCATTGCTACTAGTAGCCAAGGGCGTCGCTACTAGTAACAAGATGTAACAAGAAGCTACTAGTTGCAGGGTCTTGATCTGACCTGCTTAAGTTGTCAGGTCCTGTCAGATTAAGATGTGACTTCGAACCGACGTTCAGAACCCCAGGCCACGAAACAAAATCGTCCGCCCTTGCGCCTGGCAAGTCAAGTACGGATGTCCAACTAGAAGTCCATCTTTTGGATGAGGAGCTGGATCCAGAAGTTTTCGCTGATCGCATGGATCTTGTTTTGGGGGGGTTGGGAGCTTTGCTGTCTCGGAATGAAGATGCCCTGCTTCAGCGCTTGTAAGACGTGACAGGAGTCCATAGGAGTTCTAGATGCAGCTGGTTCACTTGGAAGATCTTGATGGCTAGATGCAGCTGGATACTGCGAAACAGCAAAGATCTAGACAGAATTGTCAGCACATCATGTCAGGAAGGTTTCCTATCATGCAGTTCCTATACCAAACAATCCAGGAGGACTGGAATATGTGTTTCTTTAATCTTAATGTTTGCCTACATTTGGGTGGTTTTAATATGTCTTAAGGATCAATGTAACATTGTAGTTATAACTTATAACTATTCCAGTCCATGGATTGTTTGGAATCCAGCTCCGTCCCCAATTTGGGCCGAGAATCTGCCCGAACGCCCGAATCTTGCGGTGAAACTCTGCAGGGCCAGACTGAGTGCACTTTGCCTGTGAAGCAACTCGGCTCAGAAAGTCCAGCAAAGAACTAAGAACTTCAGCAAACGTCGGGGCAAGGGCAAGGTCTTTAGAGAAATATGGTGCACAGTGGGGAAAACAATGATTTTTGATCAATTTGCTGGGGTGTCAGACCCTGAGATTATTTGTCATCCACTGGATTCATCGTGGAATTGGGTCATGCCATACACTGGTGGACCCCCATGCGCCACAGTAGATGCGGGCTGGCCCAAGAGGCCATATATGGGGTAATGCTCTCCATGATCACGCATCAATACAACGTCTATGTGTTTGTTCATGCCATTTCATGCCCATGAAGAGATAAGAAAAATACAAAAAAGGAGAAACATACTGTATGTGGAGGAACACATGTTCCCTTGTTGCCCCGTGTGGTCATAGCACAAAGCCTATGCCCCTGGAGACCGGGACACCCCCGACCCGAGGAACACCTTCATCCACTTCGAGGAGAAAGGTGACCGAGTCCGTCGCCATGTTCGTCGGGGAGTCGGTGTGTGAGACTGTTTGGTTGAGGGCACCAGTAGCGGCAAGCGGTTCGGTCGCTGTTTCGGTTCACCAGTAGCTCGAAACCAAAGAGTGAAATCCAAATTGAAATGAGGTGAGTTGGGAAAAGCATGGAAAAGCCGAGTCTGGGTGACGAGTCTCTAAATTGAAAATCCAAAGGATTCCAGTCCTGTCAGACGGCCTCCCATTGGTGCTTCTAAAGTCCCAGACAAAACCTATAACTCTATACTGATCGATAGGAAAGTTAAACCTCCAAAAAAAACAAAATCAATCAAAATCATATGACAGAAAATTAAGCTCCTGCGTTAGCTCTCTTGTTTTGGAAGACTTGGAAGACTATGCTCTCCAGATCATCGCGCTTGGTCAGTCGTGCTGGGAGGGTGATCGGTGATCTTCTGCAGCATGCTGGTGATTTTTGGGGTGGGCCCGTTGCTGCCTGCGGCAACCAGCTATATATGTGCTGCCTCCAGAAACCTGGATATGGACATGGCTCCGGAGCCCGAAACCATCCGAAACCCATGCCACCTGGAAGAAGCCACGCCACCTCCAAGTCCCATGGATTAAGCCACGGCGGCATGCGGCTCTCGGTGGAGTTGATTCAGCTCGTGACAGGTCGAACAAAAAGAACCACTCTCATTGAACGAAAAAGCGATGGCCTCCAACCTACTAGCCATGGCCTCAAACCTGCTAGTGAGTGCCTCCAACCTACTAGCGATAACCTACTAGCGATGGCCTCCAACCTGGTAGCGACCAAAACGCTCTCGTGCCCGTTTTGGAAGGCGCGGGCACTCGGACTCGAGCCTTGCGCTTGCACAAGTCCGAACCGCACGGGCACTCGACACCGAATCGGTGGAATTCGGCGCCTTAGGTGCTGTGGCGTGGCTGATTTGGAGGTTTGGTTGAAAAAATCAGCGTTGTATTCACCCTAAACCCTAAACCCTAAACCCTATTTGAATAGGGAGAGTATTAGGGAGAGTATTAGGGAGATCAGTGTTGATTTGCTTTGGTTGGTATTGGAATAGGGAGATCTGTCCGGGAGACCCCCGAGTCCTCTCGCCCCTCTGTGGGGTAGACGCCATCCTTTTTCGTTTTCGTTGCCGGTGGTCGGTCTCCCTGTTTTGATACGCATCCAAATCAGCGGTGAGAGCCTAACATTGAGAACATGGACAACATGGAGATAAGATCTCGAGGATTGAACGCATAAAAGCTAAACTTGTTTGAGGAAAGGCAGAAATGGACGACACAGGGCGTAGTACGTGCCCTTTTCGTGGTGCAAGTCGTATATAATAGTATCGAAGGCCCCCCCGTTCCCCCCATTGTCCATTGTGTTGCACCGCGTAGACCGCACCGCGCAGACCGCGCAATGACAATCACTTGGTCCATGCAGTGGGTCTTTATGTTGATTGCTCATGACATGACCATGCTGCCATGCTGATGTTAGTGACACCATGTGACACCCATGTGTGTCAGAAACAGATCCCATCGCCGATGATTTCCCACTCTTTGGGTTGGCGATCCAGAATCACCTCTGGCGTGGCTGGGAGAATTCGTTGTTGCTTTTGCTTCCAACTTCTTGGGGTGAAGGATCGTGTGTGTGAGAGACCTTGGATCCTTTAAAGGTGCAGTTTGTTCTTTTGTCATGAGGACCATGGAAATCTTCCAACGTCGCTGTTTATCACTGGATGACAGGAATTCCCTCTCAAAAAAGCATTGCTTATGCCTTGCTGCTTCTTTTTGCCGCCACAACGCGGCCCAACAAGGAGTGCCAACAAAGTGTCACTGGACATTCGGGTTTGCCTTCTGGAATGAGGCCTGAGCCTCTCTTCTTCCCAGAGGCCGGAGCCCCAAACGCAGAACGGGCTCTGGTTGCTCGGGCTCCGAGGTGCTGCTGCACACTCTCGACTCCGTTGATGAATGAAACCCCGATGAAAAAACCATTCTGGTAAGGAGGGCTTTATTCAACAACAGTCTAATGTCAACACCGGATGTCGAGCTGGGATTGATTAATAGGGGGTGGTTACTTAATCCTGTGTTGACATTACATACCCATGAACACCTTTTTGACTTTTACCCAATGGTTTTCTTCACGTATAAATCCAAATCGGCTTAGTGTGTGAAAGACACCTTCAACTCCTGCTTTTCTTGGAGTGTATCATATCAACCAGGGAGAAAATGCCAATCATGCAGCGTGCAACATTCTTTGAATCTCAAGCCAACGGGTTTGAGGGTATACAACATTATACAACTGCTCTCGAAGAACACTGGTCGTAAGCTTCAGCCAAGCGTGGGGAGCCTTCCCAGAACTGCACGAGTCATCGTGTCCACTTCCAGGACATGATATCTTTATCGGGTAAGGTAAGGTCAATGTGTTGTGTGAGGTATCATAAGATGCCTTGAGTGATGCCTTGTATACGACCTGGCAATACCTTACGTTCCTTCGAATCTATCATACCAGGACCACAATGTACTGACAAGCAAACGAGGTTTGACCTTCACTACCCTCCTGATGTATCCCTTGTCCTCCCTTCAAACCTTCAAAGAAGCATTGCTGGCATCCTTACCCCTACAATTGCTTTTCAACAGGACTTCATAACTCCTACCATTGGCACCTACTTAGATGTAGGCATGACACTTAAGGCCACCCGAGAAAACTCGACACGAATGAGTCAAAGAGTGGCAAAGGACATACAGGAGCAATGACCTTGCGCCAACACTCCCCACACTGCAGTCTCGGCACCTAATTGGATTTGTCCACCAAGTCCATTGCGCTTCGGATTCGAACCATCACTACATTCCACCACAGATCTACAAATCACCCAATATCACACCAACTTGCGATCGAGTCTGAAGGCGCCTCACAGCCCTTCCGGTGGGTGTCAATCACCCAATATCACTCAAAAGCATACCTACCACGGCACGTCTTTACGTGGACACGGCCGTGCTTAGACGTGCGCGTTTGGCGGCACGTCTGAATCCACGCCGCCGCACTTCAGCGGTCTGCCGACGACGCGCCCTGGCGCCGGCCCGAGGTGCCGAGCTTCAAAGCAACGCTGCCAGACTTGTCACCCTCCTCGGGCAAGGAGCCCAGGGAACGGAACCGCCAGGTCGGACCGGCCGAGTTCACGGGTTCACGGGCAGAAGACGGGTTCGTGGAACTTGCAGGAGCCGGTGGTTTTGGCAGCTATACACGGTACATGTGAGTGAGTTGAAGTCGATCTGCAACGCATGAACCGCTAAGAATAAAAGTTGCCCAACAAAGGAACTGCAAGCAATTGAGATTCAATTCATCAAAACCAGTCAAAGGGGCGACACGGAATAGTTCAATTACGGTGGATATCGCAGATTCAATGCCTCTACTCGATCCATCACCTTGTATAGAAATCCTTAATGAAACTCCAAGGCGTCTCTCAAGGACTCGGACTCATCATCCTGGTCCTTCAACGATCGGACTTCGGCCCTCCGCCAAAGGGCCGCCAGAAGCGTCAGGAGACGAAGCTGACCTTGGATTTCGATGCCGGGAGCCCCACGAAGCTGACCGGACCACGACGGGCGGTTTGAGTCCGGGTGGCGAGGCTGACCATGACAGAAGCATGTGACCAACTGGTCCCCAGCTGTTCACAAACTTCAGACTTCAATGGTCCCGCGGTGGCTGTTCGGCTTTCGTTGGTGATGTATTGCGTATGACGTAGAAGATGTTGTGTGGGTCCCAGCCTCGTGCTTGCTCATGCGTGCGAAGGTTCACTCCCCCATTTCCTTGGGAGGGAGGTTTGGAAAAATGATTGAGGGATGTAGGAACTTCTTCTCCCAAATGGATATTTGATAATATTTGAACATATTTATACATGTGTTTCAAAACGTGTCTTCTTCTCCAGGAGGATTGAGGGATGTTTGTTTGGAAACCGCTTCCTTTCCGAAACGGACATGGATATTTCCACTGGTGGGCCTATTGTATTCCATCCACCCAGAAGAGAAGGAACAGCCCCCTAGTGATCGTCAGGATTATCTTTGGTGCTCCGAGAAAGGTGTCCACCAGCGCTTCAAATCCTCAGGGGGCTCCAAAACAATGCAGAGGGAAGAGGAACTCTTCGAAGAAACCAAAAAACCGAAGCGTTTAAGTCCTTTTCAAGATGCCGCGTCCTTGACGGTTTTCGCTTTGCTGCTCCGTCCGATCGCTTTGCTGTCAGCATCAGCTTGCCTTCGGTCCGAGATGCGAAGCCATGTGAGGAAATTCGACCGAAGCAATCAGCATCCAAACCCGCCAAATGGGTGTGTGTTCAACCGGAGTCCGACCTACTCTGGAGTCCGACATCCACGACATCGAGGGAATAGATCATCTGCAGGACATCATATCGGATAGGTCAGCACACATGTACCTGATGCTTGGTTTTAAAAAAATAGACACAAAAGATACATATATATTTACTATATAATACTATATATGTTATCCTTGGCAGTACGCATGATTCCATGTGACGCTACTGATTCCATACCAACTCAATGCTTCGAGTCATCCATTCACCGACACACCAAACGACCCCCCCACGACGCCCGGCGTCACGTGCCGGACCGGCCTCGCGCCGCGCCGTGCCGCGCCTCCGCGTGGCGCAATGCCGGGCGGCCCAAGAGTTCGCCTGCACGAGTTCGCGTGGCACATGCTGTTTCACGTGTTGACATGATTTGTTTGACATGTATTTTTGGTGAAACGAAACAGTGAAAACTGGTATGTCAAAGGGAAAACTGGCCAACAACTAACTCTGTTTTCCATTGTTTTCCTGCCCAACACTGGAGCTTTGGTGAGCTGAACAACTGAAAACGACTCCTGGCGCCGGGCACGCTCGGTGCGAGGCCCACTCCGCCCTTGGCCAAACCACTTCAGACGTCGACGTCCTGGTCCTCGCCGTCACCGAAGCCCAACCAGTTTCGGCGCGGTCGGGCGTTCTGGGGAGGGTCGGACCTGTCAGGACGAGCCTCGAGAGGAAGGCGACTGGAAGGAGAGGGGTCGGACCTGTGAGGACTACAAGGACTACAAGCATCCAGTATAGTTTAAATAAAAAGGTATTAAGCATGAATCAGTGAATCAGTACCAGTATTGATTACTACCAGCTATAGTATGTTTACCAGTATAGTTGATCATCAACTGAATTAAGGTATACTCGTAGCCCTTTCAACCAGGTGAACTGGCCGTAGCGAAAGCATCTCCTTTGTTGCTGGTGCTTATCCCCAACAAACATGCACGAACAACTACTGAACCAGTTCTTGGATTGAAATATTCAGCTGTTTACAATTGTTCTTCCTTTCCTGTCTTGTGTTTTCTTTGTCTTGTTTGTTCATTGTTCTTTGTTCTATTATTTCTTTGTCTCCGATCTTCCCCCTGCTCTTTTCAAAACCATATTCAAACTGAATATAGGGAAAAATTATCCCGGCAAGAGACCCCAAACAGTGTGTGTGAGGTCTGTAAGCAGAAAGTCTAGAGATCCAGACGCATTGGGGTCCAGAGAGGTGATGGTGGTGATGAAGTGAAGGTGGGTGTAAGTGAGTGTGGATGAGAGGGAGTGTGGGTGTGAGTGAGAGTGGGAGAGTGAGTGCGAGTGTGAGTGAGAGTGAGTGTGGGCGAGAGTGAGTGTGAGTGTAAGTGAGCGTGAGTGAGAGTGAAGGTGGGGGTTGGTGAGTGTGGGTGAGAATGAGGGTGAGTGTGAGTGAGAGTGAGAGTGGGAGAGTGAGTGAGAGTGAGAGTGAGTGAGAGTGAGAGTGAGAGTGAGTGAGGGTGAGGGTGAGGGTGAGGGTGAGGGTGAGGGTGAGGGTGAG